ATTCAACAGTGTGATCTGAGGGAGAAAAGTAGTGCTTCATGGGCAAATGTGGTATAAGTAAATGTATACTGCTAATAATCATGTGGACAGGGCACAAGAAGAATAAAAAAAAATCAAAATGCCTGGAGCAATTCATTTGGTAGAATTTTCAGATATTAAAGATAACTGTATATTAATAAGTTGAATACATGCTTTGCTCCTCAGGTGGGTAACTTTATATTTCTCTCCAGAAAAGGTTGTCAAGCACTGAAACAACAGCAAATTTTTCTACCAGAATCTTATTCCTTTCAAGGGAGTGAAGCCCAAGGGGCTTTGATAAGCTCACATGGCAGTAATATTCTCTAGGGATTGGTGGGCTGAGGGGGTAAACTCACAACTAATGGACACAGTGAGCATTGTAGAGAGGAAGGGCATGCCTCTAACCCTCGCTTGCGTGAGGCGAAGACATAAAATGTAACCAAAATGTTTGTGCCCTCATAATACCCTGAAATAAAAATAAAAAAAGAAAAGAAAAGAAAATGAAAGAGTAAGAAAAAAGAAAATGACCTTTTGGTAAAGACAGCAGATGAAGAATTAGCTGATGACGAATTAATTTATCTAAGAATTCTGGTTTTGCAGACATTCCTAAATTCTAATAGCAATAAATGTACTAACTCACAGAATCAAAGGATTGATTTAGAAAGAAACTACTTGGGGGCAAAACTTGTGGTGAAGAATAAAAAATATATACAAAAAAATTTTGGAATGCTATCAGTTTTGTAAAAATAATGGGCTGTAAGCTAAATGTTTTCTCCTTAAGGAACCAATTTGGCAGAGAATTTGGAAGTACCCACAATTTCAAGGGATAAGCAAACTGTCCAGAGAAGAGAACTGTCTCTTCAACCCAGCAAGTGCAATTAAAGGAATAATTAAAACCACCATTTCAAAACTGCTAGGGATAACAGTGGCTTGATAAAAGCTACGTCAAAAGAAGACAAGCAAGTTCAGTAGATGTGTAACTGAAAAATCCAAAGGGTAACTAGAAAATTTTTGTCATATTGTTGAGGATATAAGTATAGTGAGTTTTGGATGGGAGAGGAAAATATGTATTAATTGTCAGGAAAGAAAAAAAATAACAATAAAAAATTATCAGGAAAGGCTTTGCAATTATTGTTACTTTCTCTGTATCTCAGGGTTTGTTTTCTAAGCTCTGTTGGTCTGAAACTTCAATGTAGAGCTTATTAAAGTGGTGATTAGGCCCTTTTCTTAAATGGATTATGCTACACATGAGATGGATTTGTACCCAACAGTACATTTAATAATTTACAAGTAAAAAAAAATCTACGAAACAGACTGATAATCACATTGGCCAGTGAATTTTCTATCCCAAAAGGAAGACAATTTGAGAAATCAAATGAAGATTATATGAAATCAGAGCTAGAAAATAGCTACCCCATGTCATCCAGGTATTCTTGTCCACTGGTCTGAGTGCCACTCATTTTAACAAGCCTAGAGACTCATTATCTCACTATCTCCCCAATCTTCCAATTTTTAATACTCTAAATTGTTATTTCACTTCTGATCACATCAAGATTTATACAAAGCTCTCTGATTGCTCTAGTAAGTGCTAATTTCTCTTCTAAAATTACTAGCTCTATCTGTATCCAATCAATGAGAATGTGTTTTTAACATTAAAAAAAAAGAGTATGTCAAGCAAAGTCTGGGAAGTAGTCCTTTCATTAAGTTCTGCATTATTCATGTTCTTATTAGGAGCACAGGACTAACTAAATTTAGAAACAGATGCTTCTTCAAAAAAAGCATATAAATAAAAACTTAAATACAGTAGTAAAGCTTCAAAATCCCTAAAAAATCTGAAGATTTTATTATAAAACAAATAATTCCTTAGTTCATCTTTTTAAAACAGAAGTTTTCAAATACTGAAATTGTCATTCCTTTTTCACAAACCCTTGATGATAGCCACACTGGATAAACAGATGTTTTAAATACCTTCTGAGCAGTATTATTAATACTAATTAATAGTTGTTAAGAACATGCAGATGCAAATGAATAAAAAGTAAAACAAAGCCCTGCGTGGTGGCACGTGCCTATAGTCCTAGCTACTTGGGAGGCTTGAGGAGGGAGAATTGCTTGAGTCTAGGAGTTCAAGACCAGCTTGGGCAACATAGTGAGACCCTGCCTCTAACTAACTAACTAACTAGTAAAGCAATAGAGAGTTCAGCTGTTTATAAGGTAAAATCTATTACTTGTCAGATTGATAGAACTTCTTTGTGGCAGTTTAGATATTCTGCCACCTAAACTAAGTTTCTAGACAGCAGGAACTTTGTCTTGTTCACTATTTTATCTTCAGTACTTAGCACAGAATTTAGCAGAAAGCAGGTATTCAATACATACTTTTAAAATGAATAGATTATAGTAGAGGACAGGCCTCACAATCTCACATTATAACAGCAGCAGCTAATATTTATTGAGCATTTTTTATGTGCTAGTTTAACATGGTGTACGGAGGTAACTAATTTAAATTCCCTTTGGTATTATTATCATCCTCATTTTACAGATGAAGAAACTGAAGCACAAAAAGATTAAGTAACTTGTTCAAGTTCATTCCACTAGGAAGTGATGGAGCCACAATTCAGTCTGACTCTGTAGCTCAGGCTCTTAACTACAACTCTATGCTCTCTTTTTTCTGGTATGGCCTCCAAGCTCTATTATTCTATGATTCCATTTAGCTAACAAGGCTAACGTAATATAAAGATGACAGGGGAAAAAGCATAAAGACGACCAAATATAAAGTGTTACAATAAGTTTTGCTTTGTTCTATTTTGTTAGAGAAGAAAGAAACTATCTTGAAGTTTATACTGCTTGAGCCTAAGAGAATTGACTGCTTCTCCTTTATTAGTCAACATATTTTTGGTTGTGTTTGGAACATTATTAGCAACTGTCCTTAAGAGGCCTTGGTGACAGATGATCCTGAAAACTGTCAAATAGCACAACAAAGACTAATAATGCACAGATAAAGAAATCTCATCATTTGGCTTAATTTTTAAAAATTCTATTTTATGATACTTTGCTATTTCTAAAACTAATCATGAAGGACAGTAATATGCAAAAACGGGACAGAACCATGAATGTGAAGTGTTTTGAGTTCCTTGAAAGAAAAGAGCTACACTGGGAATCTAGGAAAGAAAGGGGAAAAAGCATTGAAAAGTTTTTCTTGCCAATCACTTCCTACCAATAAAATAACTAATAGTTATTTAGCTCTCTACAATTTAAAGAGCACTTTTATATAAAATTTGTTCACTTGAGCACCAATCATGAAAATATCATTTCTACTCAGAGACACCATATATATACTGATTAGGTCAAACGGAGGAAGAAAATGAAGGCAAGCTCAGAGAAAAAGGGCCAGACAGAGAACTGTGTAACAGTACTTCAATGACATTTTCACTCACTTAGAAAAAGTGTAGTGCAATTAAATCTTTTTATTTCAGTGGCCCTACTGCTTAGCATGCCTGTGCAATGATAATAATAATGATAATGATAAAGAATATGGATAATTAGATGGATCAGGTATATAGAGAATTTACCAGGAAGCTAGGGGATATTCTAGGATCTTTCTATCTAAGTATAGAGAAGGGGAAACATTAACCTTTAAGCGCACACACGAATTACTTGTAAGTGCTAAATCTAATTTGCCTACTTATTTATAAGGCTAGATTACACGATAAATAACCTCAACCAATGCTACTTTAAAGAACTAAAGCATTTGGGTTGATAAATAACTTCAGTTTTAGTCAATCATGAATTTTTGTTTGTTTTAAGCCTGAGAAAATATCATCTATGTAACCATGGTAAATTCATAAGGTTGTGCATTAAAGAACATGCAGCTGGATGAGTCAATCAAAATATTCTATAATATGATCATCTTAAATACATGTATCTGCCATGCAAGCACAAACATCAGCAAGAATTTCCAGTTACTTGTTATTGGCTCTTACCCCTTCTTTTGGGTCTGTGTGTAGCCCTCCTCCTGCGTGACCATGCCAACATGTCCTCTTTTCTATCAGTGGCCATGCCTGGAGAGCCTAGTTGAAGATGATACCAAACAGTTTATTAGCTATTACAAAATTTAAGATGTTTAAAAATCTGGCTTAGACAGTCCAATCTAATGAACATCCCCAAAACAAATTCAGAGGCATAGCTTTTAGTCTGGCTAAACACCATCAGAATTAGCTTATAGCTAAATTTATACAAGGAATATTAAGATATAACAAATACTCATACAGAAGTCACTTTCTCTAAATAGCTTTTAAAATTAATGTTTAACCCCCCACTGCTAAATTTGACTGGCTTTTAAAAAAATTAATGTTTAAACATTAATTAAACATTGCTAATGTGTAAACATTGTATTATACTTCTACTTGACTTATATGGGCTTTCTTGATGTCATTCACTACCATAGTGCTGATAATCTGTTACTCCATTACTGGCAAGCAAGTAAATATTTTTGTTTTATAATTAATACAGTTGATTTTACACAACTGAGTCTTTTTCTTATTAGTGTAGCTCACATTATATATTCAGAAACAAAGTATTTTTAATACTTCATAGTCTGTCTTATCCTGTAGTCACTTGTATACATGTTTTGTCTTTCCTATTACAAGGTAAAGTTTTTAAGATTAGGGACAGCATCTTTTATCTTTGTATCTCCCATGGCACATACCACAATGCCCTACGCATGAGTACGGTAGGTTTCAATGCTTATTGGATTCACTTATAAAATAAAGCTATCTATAAATCTAACTAGCCTTGAAAATATGCAAACATCTTACCTACTATAAAATTTTTAAAAGGCTTTAAGATTACTGCTTAAGTTAGAGAAATATAAAAGTAAAATCACTTGAGAAAATATAATATTCAACAAGATAGTAAAGATTAGGCTCAAAATTTAGGCTTGCTAATATTGAAAGTGTTTTCACAATTAAAAATACTTAATGAAGTACATGGATTTAAAGTTACTTTTTCAGTAGCCATAATAATCAATAATTAATGAATAAGGACACAGTTCTTTACAAACACAAACGTGTATCAACAGCATACATAGCATAACAGTATCAGCTCTGGGTCAAGCTGTGAAAATTGAATTACAAAAAGCAAAAGTGCCTTCTTGCTCTCACTATTTGAGACACAAAAAGTAGTTGTCATAAATGGGTCATTGATTTTTGGATCAACAATCTTAAAGCGTTTTGTAAAAGGAAAACATCAAAAGGTAATTGTTTGTCTGACAATGTCTCCTTGTGACATTTCTTCCTCTAAAAGACTAAGCAACAAGTTTTATTAAGGGGTCTGGTGAATACCACATGAGGTAATGAGGTCTTCAACAAAGCGAAAGACTAAAATATAATAAATTTAGTGGTGTCACAGACAAAGAGAATATTAAGTACATTTTCCCCTTAAAACTTTAATTTAATAAAGGAAAATAAAATTCATTTCTACAGCCTATGCATAAATTAGAACAATGCCTTGTACCTTAATGGCAAATAATTATTAATCAGAAAGAAAAAAATAAAGGAAGTATCCAGGATTTAGACCATCTTCTAATTTTCTAGTCTTTTTCTATCACAGAGATTTTACATGTCTCATTTAAAGCACTAGGAATTTTTAAAGACATCTTTCATTTATATTAGCAATAAAAAATAACCCTCATCAACATATAAACTCAGCATCGCTTACCTCATGGGCTCTAATAAGCTTAGAATCCCTTGGTATTCTGCTATCTGAACATCTTCTAAGGTAAAGAAACTTCACTCACTTGAAAAACTTATAGCATTCCATATATCAGATATAAATTAGCAGGATAAATTTACATGTCAACATGCTGCCATTACATTTATAAAAGCTTTCTGAAAATGTTGCTCTAGTTGGCACTGATCTCAAGAGATTCAGATAGATTTCTCCAGGGGTAGAAAAATATCAAGACTTCTCTCTGTATTTCTAGCAGAAACATACCTTCTTATTCATCTTGCCAGTATTCAGAAAAACATGAAAAGAGGAATTATTGGGGAAATGTAAAATATGTAGTATAAATTGGGAAATGCTCCAAGGGCTTGCACGTTTTTCCTAGCTATATATAAAAGTGCTTGCTTAATCTTACCTTTGTAGCATCTAATAATTGTCTTGAATTGCATTTTCTCACTCTCTGCCATGCATTATTTCTTAATGACTCTGGGATCTGCTGAAGAGAAGAAAAGGAGGGGAGGAGTTTCAGAGTAGACAGTTAATATTCAAAGATTATTTCCTTTGTTCATAAACATACATAAAATTAAAACCATAGCCAGTGTTAGAGAAATGGTTATGCTTTTAACACATACCCAAAAAGATTTCAAAAAATAAAATTTGGGGTTCAGGTATAAAGTAAATTATAATACACTCATTTAAAATGTCAAAATTGGTTTCCGTGACTACAAAGCCTGGGAGGTGAGGTCCCAGTCCGGCTGAAGACAGTGGATCTCATTGTCCTAAGCACTTTTTGTTCCCTGCCCCAATTCCCTCAATAAAGTGGTTTGCCACCCCCCTGCAATGTCAAATTGTATTTTCTTTTCACCCCTTTTCTCTCTAGGTTTGTTTCTTTTCTTTTTTCTATTTTTTTAATAGTCTTTGTTTCTTAAAGCCACCAAAGTCTTCAACCTCATTTCTTTCTTAAATGGCTTTTATGCTCTTTTCAAATACTCTTCTTTTGTTCTAACTCCCTTCACTGCATTTTATTACGCACTGCCTTGTGTCTGTTCTCTCTTTTGTCTTAATCTGAATGCCAAATTTATACTGGTCACAAGATCAGTTTTGACAATACTGCCCTGGGGCAGTATTTTTTCTCATAATGCTCCAAAAATGGAGCTGAAAGAAGGCAGAATAAGAACCTCTTCATGGTAATACCACACACACATCTGTAAAATGGACACGTATCTTTCTGAAATGCACCATCATGCCCAGCTGCTGGCACTGTGCCAGCAGTGGCAGGTCTCCCGGGGCCCCGTGCCTGGGTGTCTGCCGGTCTCGCCCTGCAGGCCCAACGGGAGGGAGAGAGGATTGTGAGCTTTACATTTGAATAAGGCTTTGTACTTTACAAATTAAAAAAAAAAATTGAAATGCACCATCATTTAGTGAGGAAAAATTTGCTTCTTAGGTCAAGTCTCTCCCAACAGACAAGAAATACTTAGGCCTTCCCTAAGCTGTAAATGAGTTGTAAATGTACAGTTGGACTAATGTCTAAATATAAAAATCAATGTTGTACACTCTAAAATTACCAAAAACCAAATCAACCAAAAGCCAACCTCTATACACAAAAATGTAAACAAACTACTGAGAAAATTAGCTCATTTGTTTTCTAGAATGTAATAAACAACAGTTGATTTCTGCTTATGTGTATTTATAAACATATAAGGCATTCCTTGAACTATGACAATTTCAAAAATACCAACGGCTGTTTGCACACTTTCTTGCTGAACCCAAGGTCCTACGCTGTATCATGTGCCCTCCAATCTTTTCGCCATAGTAACCAAGCCATGTACTGTAAATGATACCCTGCTGGTACTTAACTCCGCTGTTTTCCCTACCGCCTTTCTCCATATTCAGACCTTCTACAAGCTTTACTCCATTTTTGTGTTTTTCAGAAACTCCTAATTCAAGTAACTGCACATCAAACAAGATCTTGCTCATGTTTGCACATGCAATGTAATCATCTTTGCCTTTCACATCTTGCCCAGTTATCTCGAGTGAAGGAGTATCCGCTTTCTTTTCTTTCTTCTCTCTCAAAACCGTGCCTATTATACGGCCACTAGATAAAAGATTGATATTGGTGATACACTTAACAGCAAAAACATACATTCTGAAGTGATATTGTGCAAAATAATGACAACTACCATCAAATCCAAACCCTTGAAAGTACACATAAGTCCCCTTCAGAATTTCCAGCTACCTCTTTATCCTTCTCTAATCAAACCATTTTTTTCTAAAGCATCAGTATTTAAGGTAAATAAATAATTTTTAAATATTCATATTCAAACTGAACTTCTAGTAATAAAACAGCATTGTTAAAATTATCAAATATTTCAGGCATATAAACTTCAGAAAACAATATAATGAACCCATGTATAAGCACTACCCAACCTAAGACATAACAGATAAAGAGAGCCCTTGACATACTCTCCTACAGTATCACCACCTCCCTGTTGCCCAGAGATAACCAGCACTAATTATTTAAAACATCTCTCATTGCAAAGATAAAAATTTCAGTCACATAATGGTTTAACACCTTTTGAGGGCTCGCCTTGAAACCCTACCACTATTTATTAAATATAATATTGTCCCTATGGAAAAATGCTCTGAGTTTCAAACAACAGACTTAAAAATATTTCTGAAACATAATTCATTTATAAATTAAATACTACCTCTACTTTTAGAACCCTGAGAGAAGGGTTTATAACAAAATATCTTCCACTTACAAATTGAGGAGGGCAACAGGAGAAAAATGATCAATTCTGTGAAACTTGATTTGAAACTTAGAGGGTTAGATTAGATGCCCTCTAAGATCTATTCCAACTCTGAAATTCTATGATTTTTATACAATGAAATGAAAAGGCTATTAACTAAATTTTTAAAAACTTAAGTGAGTAGATTATAATTTATTTCTTCAATAAATCTAGCATCTGAATTTATTTATAACACCATCCCTCCAAAGACATACATAACAATAAACCATGTACTACTGAAGATAACAGACATGACTAATACGCACAGATAGCAAATAAATCCAGTATACTGAAAATGACAGTTTGCCAGTCCATTTTAGGAGGCAGGTAAGTTAAAATGTTTACACTGGAGGGTTGTGTTTATTTCACCTAAAAAACAAGAAACTCTGAAAGAACCTAAAAGTTAAAGAGTCCATGACCTCCAAGTATAATAATATATGCTCTCATTTAGATCAACACTATTTATCCACTAATCATTAAACATATTAATCCTCAAAAAACAGTTGCATGGGCATAATGCTTTGCTCTGTGTAGACATTTGATAAGCATTTATAAAATGAATATCAACACTAAAACCATCGATCTAGCAGACAGAACTACCTCCATGTAAATGAAACCAAGACTCAAGTGAAGAGGCTAATAAACTTGGAAATCTATTCATGTTACAATTGCATTCTTCATTTAAGGCAAAAAATTCAACCTTTACCAAAAATAATCTATTAGTAAATTTTTTTAGTGGTTACTAATGATTGCATCCTTTTTTATAACAGTTAACGTTCATAACTCAAGTTATGCTCAGTGTTTATGACACTTGAAGAATTACCTAATAATAAAAAGAGATTAAAAACCAATTTATAAATTGTCAACCCATCAGGAATTTTGGAGTCAATTATATATTCTGCATTCCTGAAGCTTCAGAAACAAAACTAAGTTTACAACTATCTATCCCTGATGCATGTAATGCTTAACAGTATCAGTCATGTGTGAATACTGTTATCATCTGATCATTAATCATCTGTGATCAAAACCTAAAATATTTATTAATAAAATTAAGCTCTCAATACATTCTTACAGAGAAACTGCTGTGGTTTTAAACTACATTTAACCTACTTTAAAAATATAAGTCTGACATAAAACTTGGTTTTCTTCCCACCTGCCTAGAAATCAGGGGTGGGGGTATAGGGAAAGCGAGAGGAAAAGGGAGGAAAAGCAGGAAAGAAATGGTAGGCTGTCTTGCTAGATTTTGTAATTACAGTTCTCAGCTGAAAGTTGGGGGAATAAAGGATTTTCTTTACTGTGTTAAGTATTCAATAAATGCTTGTTGAATGAATGGATAAATGGCAGCATAGCATAAGGATTTTGGACAGCTCAATTCACCTGAGTCTTCATTTATTAGACCACAAAATCATCAGGTTGAATTCTGTCATTATAAAATTTGACGACTCTAGAATAGGGGTTGGCAAACTTTTTCTCTATAAAGGATCAGACAGTAAATATTTTTTTTTATCTTTTAGAAGAATACTTATTAACAAAGGTAAAGGTAACTTTAAGAAGAAGATTACATAGAAGTATAATATATAAGAATAACAATTCCCCTACACTCTGTATCCCAAGTATCCTACATTATTTCTGCTAATAGTACTTATCACAGTATATTTTATATTTATAGTCATGCTCTGCATAACAACATTTCTCTCAATGAAGGACTACATACATATATGATGGTGGTTCCAGAAGATTATAATACTGTATTTTTACTGTACCCTTTCTATGTTTAGAAATGTTTAAATACACAAATACTTACCATTGTGTTACAATTGCCTATAATACTCAGTGCAGTAACATGCTGTACAGGTTTGCAGCCTAGGAGCAATAGGCTATATATACTACATAGCCTGGGTGCGTAGGCTATACCATACAGGTTTGTGTAAGTACACTCTATGAGGTTGCACAATGAGTAATATGCCTAATGATGTACTACTTCTCAGAATGTATCCCCGTTGTTAAGACATACTTCTCAGACCGTATCCCCATTGTTAAGCAACACATGACTGTACTTGTTTTTTATTGTGTATGTTAAGGTGGACAACATGTTTTAGTATATATACACATAGTGAAATGATTACTTCAGTCACATAAATTAACATATCCACTTCCTCACATAGTTATTTTTTTGTGTATGGTGAGAGCACCTGAAATCTCCTTAGCAATTTTCCAGCATACAATACAGTATTATTAACTATAGTCATCACACCGTACATTAGATCTCTAGACTTATTTATCCTACATAGCTGCAACTTTGTACCTTTTGACCAATGTCTCCCCATTTGCCCCACTTCCCCACCCCTAGTAACTGATATTCTACTCTGTTCTATGTAGTCAACTTTTTTAGATGACTTACACATGAGTGAGATTATGCTGTACTGGTCTATGCCTGACTTATTTCACTTAGCATAATGTCCTCCAGGTTCATTAATGGTGTCATAAATGGCAGGATTTCCTTCTTTTTTAAGGCTGAATAATATTCTACTGTTTATATATACACCACCATTTCTTTATTCATCCATCCATCTATAGATACTTCAGTTATTTCCTATCTTAGCTATCGTGAATAACGCTGCAATGAACATGGGGATGCAGAAATCTCTTTGACATGCTGATTTCATTTCCTTTGGGTATATAATCAGTAGAAGGATTATTGGATCAC